GCCAACTCTCATCCATCATGTCCGGCACGTCAGAGGGTTTCTCAAGAATCTTACATATGACGCCATGTGAATCGGGCTCTTGAATGGTGGGAGAGACCTCTTCAACGATAACAGTGGCCTCTTGAACGGTGGGAGGGGACTCTCGAGGAATGATAGGGGCCTCTTCAACGATAGGAGTGGACTTTTGAGGGATGACAGGCGAGTCGGGCTTCTTCTTGCGGTGTCTTCACACTATTGGGGTGTACGGAGACTTAATAGCACGTGTCACCCACGCATCGATATGCTGTTTTACAAAAAAAGACATATATTAGTGACTTACATAAATTTAAAAAAAATCAAATTGAAATATAAGAAAAATATAAGACTTACCCCTCCATCGAAATAGCCATTGTCTTCGACCCTAATAATACGCCCCACCAAGACCAATCAAGCAACGAATAGATATCATCATTGAGCTTGCATATGTCAGTGAAACACCCCTGGCTCCGCTCATGTAGATAAAAATCAACTGCGGTCTTAGCCCAAAGGGTGTTATCCAGAATTGTGTCCGGTAGTTGTCTCCTCTCCACTTCAGATACCGGAATGGTACTGGCCGGTAACTCATACGAGAGCCAACTCTCATCCATCATGTCCGGCACGTCAGAGGGTTTCTCAAGAATCTTACATATGACGCCATGTGAATCGGGCTCTTGAATGGTGGGAGGGACCTCTTCAACGATGACAGTGGCCTCTTGAACGGTGGGAGGGTACTCTCGAGGAATGATAGGGGCCTCTTCAACGATAGGAGTGGACTCTTGAGGGATGACAGGCGAGTCGGGCTTCTTTTTGCGGTGTCTTCACACTATTGGGGTGTACGGAGACTTAATAGCACATGTACGCCGTCTGATGCGTGAACTCCGCCGTACAAGAAAAACCCGACGTAAAGCATCCACCTTATAGGGCCGCTAAATAATTAAATACAAAAATCAGTAAATAAACAAGCATGATATTTAAAAAGTGAAAACAAAGACAAATATGTTTCAAACTTGCATTGTATTCACCCAAGTCATTATTCTATCATAGTTCACAAAATGCATCAGATAACAAAGACAAATATGTTTCAAACTTGCAACACTGTCAAGTTAGTATTTGTCTTTGTCTATTGGTTGAAGTAATGCAATTCATTCAAGTTTCAATTTGCAGAAGAAGAATAGTTTCTGGAACTTAAAATCGCAACGTGAAAAATGACTATCGCAACGTGAAATGAAAATCGCAACGCGAAATGAAAATCGCAACGAGAGAATCGTAATGCGAAATGAAAATCGCAACGCGATTATAGTTTCGCGTTGCGATTTTGTCTTTGCGATTTTCATTTCGCGTTGCGATTTTCATTTCGCGTTGCGATAGTCATTTTTCACGTTACGATTTTAAGTTTCATGTTACGAAAGTAAACTATTTCTTCTTCTGCAAATTGAAACTTGAATGGATTGCATTACTTCAACCAAAAGACAAAACAAAGTCAAATACTAACTTCAGAGTATTAAAGAATACACAGTTTAGCAGAATTGGCAGCAACCGAACAAATTTACTTTCAACCAAAAGACAAAACAAAGACAAATACTAACTTCACAGTGTTAAAGAATACACAGTTTAGCAGAATTGGCAACAACCGAACAAATTTACTTTCAACCAAAAGACAAAACAAAGACAAATACTAACTTCACAGTGTTAAAGAATACACAGTTTAACAGAATTGGCAGCAACCGAATAAATTTACTTCAACCAAAAGAAAAAACAAAAGATAAATACTAACTTCACAGTGTTAAAGAATAAACAGTTTAGCAGTATTGGCATCAACCGAATAAATTTACTAAGCAATCTAAGTGAAATGGTTAATCTAAGTGAAATTACGAGTAAATTTATCATCAAGATAAATATGGAAAATCTTAAACTTACCTCGTTGCGTAGAGTATGAACCTCATTCTGCAACGATACTATCATCTCACGTAGAGCGGCAACCTCACCACGTAAAGTAGACACCTCCACACGCCATGCACCATCGTTATCGCGTAGAGTATCGATCTCCTCACGCAAGGCATTGACCTCATCACGTAACTCCCTTGACTCATCCCGTGGAGGTGGAGAACAGGGAGATAGAAGTCGTGGCATCTTTGTCGGTCGCCTATCATGAGGTGATGGTGGAGAAGAGGCTCGATGATGTGACGGGATAGGTGATGGCTCTCGTTGTAGAGGTGTATAGTCGGGTCGATCAGGTGATGGCTCTGGGTGAGGTGATGGCTCTCGAAGTGGAGGAAGTGGAGGCTGCTCATCATTCGTGCCATCAAAAAAACGCTGACTAGCTTGCCACCAATCAGTGGCAATCTCAGCCTCCGTGGGTGTCAGTCTCTGTAATGGAGTGTTGGCCTCCTAAAATATAAAAACTCAAACAAAGTTAAACGTCTACTATTAATAACTTGTTTATATATGATAGTATTTGTGTTAACTTACATTATTTATTGTCGCATATGGTATTAAGTCTTCCCAATCCAACAGGCGTTTCCTCTTCCAGGAAATAGCCCTAGGAATATCATTTGAAGTTTTTAATGCATATGTCTGCTTGCTGGGGAAAGCCTCGAATATCCAAATCTATAAACAATATAATAACAAACATTAGTAATTGTTAAATAATTAATTATAAATTTTGAAAACATTATATAGAAATTCTTACCTTAAAGGCCCAAACAAAGCCTGACAAAGTGTATTTCGACCCATCGCCACGCAAACTTTTGCGGTCATCAAAGGCAGACTACAACTTAGTCCAGGTAGCTTTCCATATATACGAACCCCACGAAAACAAATTCCATGCATTTAGGTCCTCTACCAATAATATTAGCTCCTGAGGAATAGGTTGTTTGGCATCTCTGCCTAAAAAGCCGGCATACAAAAGTACTAGAATGCATACTCGGACAACATCGACGTCATTCATCTGAGTAAAACCATCTTTCTTATTAAACAATTTCTTCAGGTCGTCGACGTGTAAGTTCGGCTTCTCTATTGACTCATTAGGAAAAACCCGGGATAACCATGATGGGTGGGTGATATGACGAGTGTACCGGCCTACATCATCGTGTCCGAATCATAGACCAGTGATTAAGTAGAACTCCTTCCGCCCAAAACAAGTATACGCTGGTGGAAAATGAAACCATATCTCTTCCTCACCACGTTGTATACTATCGGGTAGATCGCTAGTCATGGTCTGAAGCCACAAATGAGTCAAATTAGCATCTCCACCCGGATGCTGTACTCTCAACCATGGCCCGAAGCAGGTTTCCTCAAACAATTTTCTTTGTGCAGGTGAAAGCTTCGAAGCAATTGTAGTGGCTAGGCTAACTTTATTCCTTAATGTCAATGAAGCCGAAAAAAATTTCTACAAAAACAATAAACATATCAAATTAGATATACCAAAAACTACACTGTGAAGATATACCAAAAACAATAAACATAAAGAGTAGTAGTTTATTCTTGAAACTAAAATTTGCAACACTGTTTTGTCTTTTGGTTGAAATGAAAATCGCAACGAGAGAATCGCAACGCGAAATTAAAATTGCAATGCGATTTTGGTTTCGCGTTGCGATTATCTCGTTGCGATTTTCATTTCGCGTTGCGATTCTCTCGTTACGATTTTCATTTCTCTCGTTGCGATAGTCATTTTCGTGTTGCGATTTTCATTTTCATGTTGCGATTTTAAGTTTAGAAATTATTCTTCTTCTGCAAATTGAAACTTTAATGTATTGCATTACTTCAACCAAAAGACAAAACAAAGACAAATACTAACTTCACATGGTTAAAAACTAAATAGTTTAGCAGTATTGGCAGCAATCAAATGAATTTAATAAGAAATCTAAGTGAAATGGTTAATCTATTATTGAAATTACCAGTAAACTTATCATCAATTTCAATATGAAAAACCTAAAATAATGCAAAATTTTCAAAATAAAAAAAATTAAAAAAACTAACCCTCGGAGGTTGATTTTCCATTTCTGAATGATTGTGAGGGATTTCTGACCGTGAATGGTTGTGAGAGATTTCTCCGGAGATGGGGACGAAAATCTTCGGAGATGGGGACGGATTTCACCGTAGAGAGTGAGAGATGGAGATGGGACTGAGTTGTGATTTTAGGTTTTAGGTTATGAGTTGCGATTACGGGATATATTGTGGACGGTTCAGTGTTCCGATAATTAATATTCGTGTTTGGAATTTGAAAATAAAATATGCGTAGCGATTCTAATGGCGCTTTAAAAATCGCGTTGCGATTTTACGTATTGTCGTTGCGATTTATGGATACGCATTGCGATTTACGTATTCTCATTGCGATTTACAGATACGCGTTGCGATTTACGTATTCTCGTTGCGATTTACGGATACGCGTTGCGATTTTACGTATTGTCGTTGCGATTTACGGATACGCGTTGCGATTTTACGGATACTCATTGCGATAGTCAGAATCGCGTTGCGATTTAAATGTTCGCATTGTATTTTCATATTCGCATTGCGATTCTGGAAAATCGCAATGCTAATTTGTACTATCGCATTGCGATTCTTCATAATCCCGTTGCGATTCTGGGAACTGATTTGCGATTCTGGAGATCGCGTTGCGATTTTTATTTCGCATTGCAATTTTGTTGGTCATTTTGGTAAATCCAAAAAAAATTGGTTAAAATCGTATATTATAAGGTATTTTTGATCACTGATGTTATTTTCTCTTATTATTATTATTTATTAATATAAATTCTTTCACCTTACACGATCGTAGATTTTTGGCTTCGTACATGCATACATTCATACATACACATGCATATAATTAATATTTTGTTAATATTCCTTTCACCTTATCTCTCTCAATCCCATCATCATACATGAATGCATGCATGTATGTATGTATTGTGCAGATGCATAAGTGGGGGCATGGATCTCAATAGAGAAAAGGACCCGACCCACTAAGAGGAACCCAACCGACGGCCATGCTGAAGCTGCCGTGCTACTGCCGTGCACCGGGCTGCGCCCACAACATCGACCGCCCGAGAGCCAGGCAGCTCAAGGACTTGAAAACGCTCCAAACGCACTACAAGAGGAAGCATTGGATCAAGTCCTTCGTGTGCCGGAAATGCGGCAAAGTGTTTGCGGTGCGAGGAGACTGGAGAACCCACGAGAAGAACTGCGGGGAGGTTTGGTGTTGCGTTTGCGGCTCCGATTTCAAGCACAAACGGTCCCTGAAAGATCATATCAAGGCCTTTGGTCCGGCCGGTCATGGCATGATCGATATCATTCTGGACAACGACGACGAACCGAGATCAGAATTTGAGTCAAGGTGAGAGCTTAGTATTCTTTTAAGACGAAAGGAAAGACACATTTCTTTCTTTCTTTCTATTCTGGGAACATTAAGTGCGTCATGGTGTCCGCATGTGTAAAATTAGTAAAATGTAGCAGTATCAAACTGTATTGAGGAAGGCATAAGTGATGCTATATAGTATGTTATGGATTTGTAGCATCAAATCTAACATGTTTTCCTTACGAAATTATTTTTTCTTTTTGTTATTTTTATTAATCTAGAATACTTACTAGTGGTTGTATTTGTTCTAAAAAAAATTCAATCATTTAATAATAAACGTTTAAATACTTTGCAGTTTCTTATGCTCAAGCTTGGACCCGAATAATATTGACATGTTAATTAATAAAGGCAAAAGAGTACCGAGACCCTTGTACTTGTCCAAAAAAAAAACCAATGTAGTCCTTGATATTTTTTTGCACTCAATGTGACCCTCGAACTAATAAAAAGAACACAATGTGACCTTTTGACCAACGATTTCCGTCTTTGACTGTTATGATGTTGGCGTGACACTTCACGATGCTGATCTAACAATCCATAGTGACTGGTGACGTGGTAGATATGGTAAATTAATTTTTTCAAGATGGCTAAATTTATTTTTTAAAAGTTTAAAGGCTTATTTATTTTTTTAAAAAATAAAAGTATTTTAAATTCAAAATATAAAAATACTCAAAAACTTAAATATAATAATACCAAAAATAAAAATAAAATTACTAAAAAAATTTAAAAAAATATATTTTTTGTTTTAAAAATAAAAATAAAATTCATATAGAATTCGGCTCTAAATTCTAATGTGAATTGTATTTTATTTTTATTTTGTTAAAATGTATTTGCTATTTCTTGATTATTTTTAAAAAAATAGATATTGGAGTGACAAAAAAACCTCGAACAGGTGAAATTTATATATATATTTTTTCAGTATCGTGTTTGTATTCATTTATTTATTTTTGAAGGTGCTCGTGTTTGTTTATTTATTGTTCATGAACATGTTCATTTAATGTTAATTTAACATTCGTTTAATATTCGATTTTTAATTTCATTTGCAACCTAACGAAAAATGATAAAATTATGACACTAGTGTTTAAACTCCTTAAAATTCATAATTTAAAATACAACTTTTATCATGAGTTCAATTTACTTCTGATCTTAACAGATATTTAAAATGTAAAAAAATAAAAGAAGAATTAGGTAAACAATCTTATTCATGAACATAAATGAACGAGTTGATAAACGAACTTATAAACGAGCTCATAAATGAGTTTGCTCGTAAACATAACGAACCGAATACACTTCTGTTCGTGTTCGTTCATTTATTGAATGAACATAAATTTTTTTTGTTCATGTTCGTTTATTTAGCTTAACAAACAAACATTATACGAACGATTCACGAACAATTCAATAAATGTTCTATTCATTTACACCCCTAACTATTATATTTAAAAAAATATAAAAAGAAAAACCCTAATAAAGATACTTATATATATATTATGTTTTTTAATCCCACTTGAACTGCAGTTCTAAAAATAAGCTATGTAATTAGTTTAGAGCAAAAGTAAAAGTCAAATCCTGATCAGATTGCCGGCAAAAAACTATTTAAGGCTTTCTCTTGATCTTCTTCTTCTTCAATCCTTCTGCTTTCTTCGAAAGAATCAAACTCTAAATCCGATGACTGAAAAAAGAAAAAGAGTTTCCGATAATCCCGAACACAAAAAAATCAGGTATGTTCGTCGAAAGATTTGTCTGCTTCCTTTATCAACAAGCAACTTCAATTGTGGTTCTGATTTGGGTTTCGTTTTATGATTTATGTCAGGAAAGTAAAAGCTAGAACAGTAGGTGAGAAAGACGCAGTTGATAGACTTAGTAATCTGCCAGAACATCTTCTTTTGAAGATCATGTCATCACTTCCGATAAAAGAAGCAGTTCGAACATGCCTCCTATCGAAAGGATGGAGGGATGTTTTTACGTCGATATCTGATATCGACCTTGATGGTTGTCTAAAGAATCAGTCTTTGCGTAATAGTTTCATGAACTTCGTCGAAAGATTTCTACTCTTGCGCAAGGATATCAGTGTCAACAGATTTCGTCTCCGCTGCGGATTCGGAATGGATCCTTGCAGGATTAGTGGATGGATACATTATGCACTACGTAACGGCGTAACAGATATTGATTTAGACATTAGAACAAAAGCATTTTCTCCGTTTCAATTTGGTGTCTTCGCTTGTAAAACGCTAGAGACATTGAAATTATCCTTCAATCGAAGTTTTACCCTACATGTTCCCAAAAGCTGTTGTCTGCGGAATCTCAAAGTTCTCAATCTCAGTGATCTCATATTCTCCGATGGCGAATCCTTTCAAAGACTAGTTTCGAGCTGCGTCAATTCACTTGAAGAATTAAGTGTTCAATATTGTAATCTGCAGAACGTAAACAAACTCAGTGTTTGCAGTACTAAACTCAAGAGGTTAACCATAACGAGTTATCTAGGCCCTTGTAAAGAACTAGAGATCAACACCCCAAATCTGGTCTACTTGTATTACGACTACAATACATCAACAACAACAAAGTATTCGTTCAAGAACCTAAACTCTCTTTCAGAAGCACGTATTGGTATAGGACCAATCATTTCCGCCGACACGGTCCGGAAACACACTGCTTCTGCAATAGATTTGATGACAGCAATCAGTCGCGTTCGGTCGCTTCATTTAACCGGTTGTTACACGGTAGACATGCTGCCTGCACTACTGAGCGTCCGCGATTTAATCCCGAAATTTCCCAACCTGAGTTATTTGCGGCTGGACGGATGCTATATCGGATGGGGAACGTTGTTCGCTGCCAGTCCATCTCTTCGAACCATTGCTATTGACTTAAACGTATGGATTAATGATATGGACTAACTAATCATACATACTATTGCAGGTTGGAACTTGTAGCTATGAATTAACGTTGTTATTGTTTTTCTTTTTGCAGATATTTTCTTCCGCAGATGGAATTAAGGAAGTTCCGTCTTGTTTACTGTATGATATCAAGGAGATCAAGATTTTAGTAAGAAGAAGACCGGATATTAAGTTCGTTGAGTATGTCTTGATGGAGGCGTGTGCTTTAGAGAGTTTGACAGTACAGGTAAACGCGACGAAGAGGGATCAGAAATTTATCGTCAGAAAAATACGTGCACTGCCGAAAGTTTCAAACAAATGCCAAATCCTTGTGAAATGTTAAACTTTATTATGTCTCCTAGTTTATTATTGTTTTTATGGGTTTATTCATAGATTTACAATACATTTCTAAGTTATGATATTTAATTTCTTGAATTAAAAGTTCAACTCGGACAAGTACTTGTACATTGATGTTATGACATTTCTATTTAAACAATAAGAAACGACTACAAGCATATGATTTAGAATAATTCGAATTAGTAAGTTAATAGTATAATGATTCAAATAGTCACGATTAATATCAAGTAAAATTAAGTATCAAATTGTTAATATTAATGATAACAAATAATATAAAATGATATGAAATTAATGCTAATAAAAAATAATGAATAAAATAAAGAATTAATTATTAATTAAAATAAAAAAGTAAATTCAAAATTAGTTATGAAAATAAAAATAAAGTACAAATTATAAAAGATCTAAAACCTAGAAGTGTAAAATCTGAAAAGGGAAAAGTGAGGGGTTTACATGCAATTTGACTATTTAAATTAAAACAAAAGTATGGGGTATTGTAATTTTGCCATGTATATTAAAACAAAAACATCGTTTATCTAAAATATAAATATGAAAAACTATGGGGGGTTTAATGAAATTTAACCATTCTAAATAAAATACAAATAGAGGGGTTGGAATGTAATTTTACCAAAATTAAAACACCTTCTGCGTGCAAATCACTTGAAACACAGAGGGGCGTCGGCTAACCTTTATGAAGAGCTTTTCATGGCCGACGGCCGACTGTGGGTAACGACGAACTGAGCTACGGCAAATGGCAACGTTGGATTTATAATTTAATATTTTTCAGAGAATTTTCCGACGATTTTCCCGGTGAGTTAAGACCTCCAACAGTGATCTAACTTAAATAATTTACAAATTCTAATTCTAAACAAATAAATTACTTAAATTAATTATAAATTAATTATAATTCTATTAAAAGTAAAATTAAATTTTGAATTAATGATTATTTTTAAATAAATCTTTATACTTTTAAATATTTACATAATAAAGATAAGTTTACCTGTGGTGCGTTTCAATACGTCGTTTTAGTGGTACGTTACAGTATGCGACGTGCGTTATAAACTCTTCCTGATTTTTATATCATCTTATGTGAAAATTTATAATTGAATTGATCAAACTGATCAAATTAATTAAATTATTTTTTATTTTTAATTATATAATATATTATGTAATTAATAATTTAATTATTTTGAAATGTTTTTATTAAGAAAAGTAAATCAATTAGCCGAGTAAACCTATTAATTTTAATTCGATTCAGTAAAATCAATTCAAATTATTTAATTCAATCATGTAAATTAATTTAAATTATAATCAATAGAATCAATTCAATAAAGAAGTCAATCAAACAAATCAAACAAATCAAACACGAATACATTATTTACATATTTATAACATGAAATGTAAAAAGTAAGTCTTTTATTTATTTATTTTTATTATTTCTCAAACCTTAATTAATAATATTTAATTCAGAAAAAAAGAAAGAAAGAGATTTTAATCACTTGCTTACTATACATACGCCTTGAATCTTAAAAAGGAATCCAGAAGGGGCCATTCCCGCAATAATGCCAAATCCAGGGGCCCTTTCAATACGGAAACCCAAAAGAAAAACCCTAGGCTGCTACGTTAATCTAAATGTTGTGTTTGGGGCTTCAATTTCGCTTCCCCTCCCCCTTTCCTCACCTATCATTCAAGCTGTTTGATATTTTTTGCAACAGATAAATTCAACGAGTTAAATTCAATTCCTTTGGCTTCTTTCGTTCCCCCTCTCAATCCATCGCCGTTCGCTATTTCGTCCATGCCTAAGACTAAGAGGTGAAAACTCCTTCGATCAATCCCCCGATCATCGATTTTTCGTTTCAATCTAATCGTGATTTGGGTTTTTGTGGGTATTTGACGATGATTTTGATGATGCTTTCAATTTTTGTTTTCGTGTGTCTGACTATTTTTGTGACGATTACTTCTCTATGCCATGTGTTTTTTTTCTCTTGCTAACAATTTGTTTTTATAATGATTATGAGCATGTTCTGCGCGTTGATATTACTGATTTTTCCTGCAATTTTAAATGAAATTGGTGTATGGATGAAGCGGAATGATAAACTGTTTAGTTGGATGTTGGAGATATATGTATTGAAATTACTAATTTTCGTGAATTCTCGATTATGGGTTTTATTTTTAATACTTTTGTTATGTTTCAGGGTTTTCTGTAAGTTCTTTGCTCATGGAGCATGCTTCAAAGGGGAGAACTGTGAGTTTTCCCATGATTGGAAGGATCCGCCAAATAATGTACGAAGTGCCCTTTGACCTTTCTGTTTTTTCTTTACCTGCTGCTGGTCCTCTTTCGTTACCTTATTGTTTCATCATACTTGGTCATTGCAGATTTGCACATACTATCAGAAAGGAATCTGTTCATACGGTAGTCAGTGCAGATATGAACATGTTAAGGCTTCTCAATCGGATTTATCTGCTTCATCTTCGTCCACAAAGCCTCGCCAATTCGGGATACCGGATTCTGTTCCTCTAGGTCCATCAACAAGCACATTTCGTGGTTCTGCTGTACTTTCAGCTGCTTCACCAGAGTTTCCTGGTTCCAATGGAGGGTTCCTTCCTCCCGCCAGAAACGCATGGAATTTGGAATCTGAGCGTCAAGATCTATCCGATGATGGTGATGTTTTGGAGCCTAGGAGTGGTAATGTAGCTGATCGTTCCATCTGCTCGTTCACTGCAGGTGTTAATTGCCCCCGTGGAGAAAAATGTCATTTTATTCATGGAGACTTGTGTCCCACCTGTGGGAAACATTGTTTGCATCCTTTCAGACCTGAAGAAAGGGAGGAACATATAAAAATGTGTGAGAAAAAGCAAAACCACCTTGATGCATTGAAATATAGTCAAGAAATAGAATGCAGTGTGTGCCTGGATCGTGTTCTCTCGAAGCTCACAGCAGCCGAACGGAAGTTTGGGTTGCTTTCAGAATGTGATCATCCGTTTTGCATATCCTGTATTAGAAATTGGCGTAGCAGTTCCCCATCGTCTGGGATGGATGTTAATACTGCATTAAGGACTTGCCCAATCTGTCGCAAGCTATCATATTTTGTCATCCCAAGTGTTATTTGGTACAGCACTCCAGAAGAAAAGAAGGAAATTGTTGATAGCTACAAGGCAAGACTGAGGTAATGCGACGTCAGTTTCCATGTTTTCTTTATTTCCTGCGTACACTCATCACATGAATTATGAATTTATTTAAATTCTCAAATTTGTGTGTACAGTTGAAGAGTTTGTTTGGATGATCTATAATATCCGTCTCATGTATTGTATAATATTTTAATTATTTGACTAGCATAAATTATATTTGTGCAAACAGAAATCTGTAAATTTGTGAATTTCTATTCAAACTATTAAATCCATTTTTATATTGTTGTTTTTTATTTTTAGGTCAATAGACTGCAAGCACTTCAACTTTGGTAATGGGAACTGCCCTTTTGGGACAAGTTGTTTCTACAAGGTAATAATTGCCTATTTATTCAGGTTTTTGAAATGGCGGATTCCCTTTTCCAAATTTGTGTATTTCATACCCTATTAAGTATCAACTACTATAAGCATTTTAGAAGTGATTTTATGTTATAATTCTACATTTTTCGCTTTTCTTTGTTTATGGTTATTCTTCTCTCGTTGTGTCACTGTGGTTGCTCAATCTTTGAGCAATTTCTTAGCCAAATCCCTACCAGACTTTATCTGAATAGGCTAGTGTAGGAATAAAAAATTACTTTTATCTCCAACAACATTTGACAGCTACGAGCTTCTATGACAATTTTCTTTAAGAAAATTGCTACTGATATTTGGTAAGAGGAACAAATATGAGAGCAGTGAATGATTCAGGCAAAGATGCTAAATCATGGTTGAGATCTGAACCAAGTCGATGCAAGGAAAGATTGTGATGCACCAAATATGATTTTTTGTACAAGGAGTAATCATCTGAGAGGAAGACAATGGATGATAAAGTAAGGACTGTGTTTGAATTTAGAGGCATTTTGGTTTGTTTATACGGCTTCTTCATTCCTGCCTTCGCTATTTCTCTACCCTTTGCTACAAATACACTAATCACAAGTTCACTAGCAAATTGCTTGATGCTTCAAGATTTTGTTTCCCTTAGCGTATTCTCTCCTTCCTGTTTTGTTCATTTATATGCAATTTACTTTAGTCATAGAGTGTTAGTTTTACGATTCTTTTAATGGATGCTCGTGTTGTCTTCCAGCATACAGTCAAGCCAGGTTCTTATGCATGGAAATACAACTGGCCACCTCCTCGCAGATCCAATGTTATAGATTTGGACACAATTTTTTATGCGTTCGAGCACTTAATTGAAGAAGATGAAATGAATATTTTTGATGCTGAAGATTTGGAAAACGATGATATATCTTTGGAGATGGCCTTGTTTTTAATGCAGCTAGATTATGAATCGAGTGACCCCTCAAGCGATGAGGATTTTCACTATTAAGTTCCTAAAATTAGTTGTACTCCATTTTGCTGGAATTATGGAAATTTCATAGCATTGGTTGTTCTTTAGGCTGCTACCTTTTTTATCCAGTACTGTCTTGTTAAGACTTCAAACATCGTTAATTAGTATTGAATTCTGGATTAAGTTATTAGAGTTTGAATTATTCTTAACAGTTTACATTAGTTTGAGGCTGTGTGGGGGTATTAAGGTGTAAGGGTATTGCCTTGCAATCCTTGGATTTGTACTTTTTATGGATTCTTTTGTGATGTGCCTCCTACTTCCTATGTATTTTAAAAAATCAAATGTTTTTCCTAGTTAGACAATATGTTCTGGATAAAGAAATGTTCATTGGACCAAATGTTGTATATATGAAATCATCATTCTATATATTGGCTTTAGAAAATGTTATCTTTATTTTTTTTAGCATCCTTGTTTGCAGTGAATGTCATCCAAAATATGATTGAGGATTTTCTATTTGAATACTAGGCCTGCATCTTTGTATTCTTTCTGTGTTGTGGTTTCATAACTGGCAGAACTTTCTGTAGTGTGTTTTCATGGATGTTATGTATTTGTAGCATGCATATCAAGATGGTCGGTTGGAGGAAGTTGCTCTGCGCCATCTTGGAGCGGAAGACGGGCACACCATCATAGCTAAGAATATTAGGTGCTTTTGCGCCACTTTTGTTCTTTTTCTTTAATTATATAGACTTGTTCGATACCTCATCTGTTACGTTCTTTCTTACTATATTGAGGATTCTTTTCAGGTTGTCCAACTTTCTCAGTGACTTGCACATTGGATGAATTTTCAGAATATCTACTACAAGTAAGTTCTATGTTTGATTATCGTAATCCTCTTACAAATACCCCATTTGTTTCCAAGACGTTTCTATTGACTCCCAATGCATTTTCATGCATGCAGGATATCTAAATAATGCAAGGACCTATATGCAGCTTTTAATGAAAACCTCTTCTTCGGTTTCTAGTGTTGCACTCCTTTTCAAAAGGTAAAAATATTGAACAAATTCCATTATTTGGGGGTAATGCTATGCATGATTGAGAACTCGATTCTTTAAAACCGGGAATGCAGGATTGCGGAAAGGAGGAACCAGAGGCTGGAATCATGGGGGCATGCTATGGTTTATATGCAATAAAAACTGCATCTCTAATATTTAAAGAAGTAGAAAACTAGTTGTGGGGTGTCAATGCTGAGTGATTTATGGATGATAAATGTTTGCTGAATGAAGGCTTTGGAATTTTAGTAAAGCCAATGGCGATTACTTTGAATAATCGAATTCGAGGGTGGCAGTGTTTATTGCTTAATGCTTTCCCTCTAATCAGTGGAACTCTCCAAAACTGTACTTATATATACATACACACACGTATGTAGGGATTATGCTATGCTGTGATATGGTCTCTCAGGATGTGCTAGATTTTAGAGATTTTCATAATACACACACACACACATATAGCAAGCTTGTAGTCCAGGTTCTTTGTGTGTGCTTGATGCTCTGTTTATGTAATATGGTGAATTTTCTGTGGAATAAAAATACATGCAAATTAATCTCTAGATTTCGCAGCCCCTTATTTGAGGACTATGGGATCCTTTACTATCAGATAAGAAGTGTTGTACTAGGGATTTTTATTTCTACAAACGGTATAAATAAATCTAGAATTGAATTCTTATTTAAATTAAATTATAATTAGTATTGATTAAGAAATTCTGAAAGAGTGTAATTGAAATTACTGAAGTTACAAATAAACGACATATAAATTTGCTCTTTTTTTGGGATCGTTTTCTTCTATTTTCTCCTTTTTTTTATATATACACATAACCAATGTTTAATGAAAATTCAAAAGAAAAAAAGAGTGCGTTTGCTTCCAATACCAAATCTAAAAATTCCCCTCCCCTCCCACACCTAGAAAAGCCAATGCCTCAGGTTGCAGAGTTTCTAACGAAAACCCCTCTCCCACTTCTATTACATACCTCTCTCTAAACTCCAGGTGTCAAAGAATCATCGCGTTCGGATTTTTTCCGTATAAAGATACTGGATGCAATAAGTCCATTAACAGCATTTCAATAGGAAAGAAAAAAGCCAAAAATAGAAAACCAATGCAACCTCGGAGGAGGTATGTTGAGAAATTGAGATTACTGAACTGAGGTAGTGGCATTCCCTTATGACTTGGGCTCCGTTCGGATATAGGTGAGACTACGGGCAGTGGGCGAAGGAAAGTTACCCGCATCGGATGGAGTGGCCTGAGCATCACGCTTCCACTGAAAGCTTCTTGCACCGGGTTTTATAGGAAGGTGAGGACTGAATGCACCTGGTATACCTCTGGCGAAAGGTGCTCTAGCAAACCTTGCGGCAGAAAATGGAGAACCCCGAGCTATGCGGGGCCATGTCATGACAGGAGCAGCAGCTTCTTGAGCAGAAGCTTTCTTCACAACCTTCAGCAAGAAGGTAATTGAACAGGTTGTATAAAAAGGTAGAGGAATATCAATATGCATGGCAAGTTGGACGTAAAAACTCAATAAAAAGGTTGAATAAAAGAACAGAGAACAAGAGCTAAATACCTTGAGAATTCGTGACATGAACGACGTACCATCCAGAGACAAAGCATTGGCTGCTGCTTCCTTTCGCATGAACTCCACATAAGCTGACCTGTGTAGGCATTGCACCTTAGAAAAAAGGGGTTCCCCACAGAAATGCAAAGAGAAGAAACAAACTGACGTATTCAGAACAAAAGTGTTTCAAACAATTTACCCTTTTGGCTGTCTCGTTGCAGCATCCATAACTATAACAACTTTTAGCACTTCTCCAAACTTATTAAAATGTCGAGAAAGACTATCCTTGGTCGCAGCAAAATGCACCTGCTTATCAATGGTTACAGCACCATATATTGTCAAAATGAGTAAGGGAGACGTATACTCTTTCTAAACTATACAGATAAGTTTGGTTTCTCACATTGCCCACAAAGATGGTTCGAGAATCCGCATCCTTTAAAGGACGACCAGCAGCATGTGAAACTGCAAAAAGAAAATGGCAAAAATTAAACAAAATGTTAAGAATGCAAGAAAAATTCCAACAGAACAGAATGAAATAGGTCACAATACACAAGACAATTCCAAGTATAACTCGCACACAACAGCCAAATAATCAATCCTAAAAATAGAAAGCAACTCACCGGAAGAAGGCTGCACTGCTTTCTGAGACATTTCTTGGTTATAAGCAGCACTTTTAACCTATAATTAACAATAAAAGTAAGTTTCAACAGCCCAAGTGCAAAGAATAAAGGAGATAATAAGTTTAGGAAGAAAATCCTACATTTCCATTAGAGACAGTAACTGGGTCGCAATTCTCCATCAATCTAATATTAGATTTGCTAACAGCTGTTTCACTCTCTGGAAGAGATTTTTGACTGTCCAATCCTGAAACCTTCCTTGTCTCTTGATAATGAGGTGGTTTCCAAGTATTTACATTGACAGAAATGTTAAATATCTTACGAGAATTTGCTGCTATAGTAGATTGATTTTGATCTTTGTTCCTCGTTTGCAAGATTTCATCATCCTTATCCACATTGTACTGCACCACAAGTGAGTTATCACCCTTGTTTCCACCTGATGTACCAGTACGAGATACATAACTCCATGGCTAACACCATTCATTGTCAGACAGAGACTCTGAACCAAACCCGGTCTCACTTTCTAAAGCAGTTATGTTATCAACATGTCCACCACCATACTCGTCTCTTCGATCATATGCCGAATGGGTTCTCCCCAAAGGTTGGTCAAGATTTCCATATTCTTCATCATCGGGAAGAGACACTCCGAATTCTGGATGTAGGTCATGAGTCTCCAAAACATCTGATCCAGGACCAAGCCTGTCAAAAACACTTCCAGAATTTTTCACCTTTGTCACATCTTTGGCAGCTTCTGCCACAGCCTTGATCATTGCGGCCATTGGATTTGCCACTCTTGCAACAGACTGAATTCTCCGAGGGCGAACTGGCAAATCTCCAGAAGAAGTTGAGACAACAGATCTAAGGCGCTTGGAAGATGGCTCCTTCGCTGAAACAGGTGCCCTCAAAGTTCCAACTGCATCTCGCACAGCAAACTGAAGCAGCCGCCTAGGGGCATCAATCTTCATCTGAGAAACTGCTTCCCTCTATAAAAGGAGTTCATCCATGAATCAGAAGACAATAGTCAACTAAATGAAAAAGACATAATTGGCATTTGACAACATCAAACTGCCATGCAATTTACACAAAAATATTTCATTAAGAAAAACCTTTCTGAACTATTGTTAGAGAAAAAAAAAAGTATCTAATGATAATATGTGATCTTCAGGACAATTAAGGAATTTATCCCTATACCATCTGCTCTATATCATTTCTATAAGAACATATTTGTCCAGTTAAAGGAGAACAATATGCTCTTAACTCTGGTCAATGGTCATCAACTAGTCATGAATATGGATCCTAGAAATTCAAACCTTTATTGGATGTCGCTCGTCAGGTCTACTCCTTTTCTTCTGGGTAGGACAAGGAGAGGTAGATCTTCCACAGCTTACTTTAAGACTGGATTTTTCTTCAAAACAAATATTCTCAACCACAGAGCTCCGAAGAGGAGGTGGATCAGCCGCATCCCTAACCAGTCCCTTCCACTCCCTGTTGTGTCGGTTCCTGGAAACCTTAGTAGTCTTTGCTCTTTCGGAATCAATATCCAACTGGTGAGAGCCAGCACCAATGGACTGATTCCCCAATACAGTTGTTCTGGCTCCTCCAACATGAGGTTCCTGAGAGGGAACATATACATCCAAATTTGAAGCCAAATGATCCCACAACCTGTTCAAAAGCAAAAATAAGAATATTATAGACACACTAATATAAGAAAACTAAAAGTATCAGATATAAGGATAAGGTAAGGCTCAATCCTGACAATTAGGTTTATATAAGCACTGATTTTCCAAAAGATGAAAGTTGGAAAAATAATATAAATACCAGGTGACAAAAGAAACACTGTCATCCCCAAGAAAAACATTCAACTCATTCATTGCTTCATCTTTACGTCTTCCGTTTCTCAATAAGACAATCACATATTCCTGCCAATCAAATCAATGGGAGAATATGGTTAAAAACCGATTGGAATATATGATCTTTCACAGTTTTCAACAGATTTGGTAATTGCTGCATTCCAACTATTTCAAAGATTGGATATAATCAGAGCACCACATCAAATACTGAAAGGTCAAGAATGCTAGTCAAACTACACCTAAGGTGAGATACATTGTTATAGGAAAGATTAAAACCAGATATACTTTAAAAAAACTTGTAACTGAAAAGGAAAAAAATTAAGGGCTTTTGAAAATCCAAGTAGTCATGAAATCTTAAGCAAAACATTAAGAACCATGATGCCTTCTAATTCCTCACTTTCTCTTCAATCCTTTTCCTTTAAACAATGCCATAAACAATTGGCAAGAACATAGAACATGGAAGTAAGAGGAACAAACTTGGGCATTTTAAAAAGTTAAAATTCTACAGATATCGCTCAAAAACATTCTACCATTGCCCAATTGAATCAAAAACAAATGCAGAAACAGCATTACGATCAATGAAACAATTCAGAGAACAAAATTACAATATTCACACATTTTTATTAAAAAAAAGGAATAATGCAAATAAATCGAATAATCGATAGTACGGGGGGGGGGGGGGGGGAAGCACCACTAGTGTATCATCAGTGTAATCGCCCATAAACTCCTTGAGTTTTTCCTTGACTATATCTTTCAACTTGGCTGCTCCATCTCCGCTAAAATTAACTTTAAATGTCAAATCATCAACTCGATCCACACTGCCCATCTTCGTCGATTTCCTCTTCGAAACCCTAATAAAACCTCTACCGAAATACAATAAAAACTAGGAAAAAAAACAAGTAATTGTGTTATTCCAGAAACCCTAGCTCCAGGGGTTTGCAAACAACGTGAAAAAGCGGGAGCGGCAGCTGATGAATTGGAGGGACGCGGCGGCGCGTGAGAGGATTGGGGTGCCTGCGAGAGAGTGGGGAAAGAGAATTGGGTTTCATGGCATATGGGAATTCCCCTACCGTATTTTGCGGGTTGAAAAGAGATAAAAGAGCTGAAGCAAACAACAAATATATGTCCGTTACCACCGCAGGCGTGGCAAGTTAGCAAAGCAAGGACTATTAGGATTATGAGTTGATCTTCTAGGTTCGAATCATGCTAATTGAGAATATTGAAAAAATGTGGGGAATAAGGTGTTGGGTTTTTTGAACTCATATATATGTATGTATATATATATATATATATATATATATATGTCCGTTCCGATTCTTTGTAATTGATTTTTTTAAGAAAATGACTGCATAATTTTTCATAATTCATTTTTTAAATTTTTCATTATAAAATATAAATATTTAAAATGATATTATTTTATATATTTAAAAATAATACAATATTAGATAAGGTATACACATTGTCTTACGAGTATAGAATACTATTTTATTAGGTCTCTCAAATATTAAACTTATAAAATGATCCTCTGACTATAGAGTGTTGCTTTGTTGAGTCTTTCGACTATTAAAAGTTACAAAATAGGCACTAGACTATTCATTATGTTCTAAACTCTTTCTTTTCATTAAAAACCTAACAGTTAACTAAGCTGGACGTTACATGATGACTGAAATATGATAATTGTAAGAGATTTTAAGATAATATTTTATCATATCATGGTCAACACGTTAACATTCAACTTAGAATGTAGTTAATTTTTTAACAGAAAATGACGAGTTTGTAACATAATGAATAGTCATGTGACCATTTTGTAACTTTTAATAGTCAAGGGACTAAAAAATAAACAATTATAGTCGAATAACTATTTTATAACTTTTAATAATAAAACAATACCCTATAATCATGAGACTATTTGTGTACTTTATCCTATAACATTTTAGCATTATTTTAATACAAAAAATAATTATTAATACTTTTGATAATATAATAAAATAATTTTTTTAATATATAATATCATATTATCGTTTACATAATAAATTATTAATAAAATTAATGCCATCTATTAATTTTATAAAAAAATAATATTATGAATTATTAGATATTAAGTATTAAAAATATATTTATTAATAATTTTTAGGGTAAAGTATAGTAATAGTCACTGAACATTTCCGAAACTTGCATTTAGGTCCCCCAACTTTTAAAACTTGCAATACAGTCCCCAAACATTTAATCCGTTTGCAATATATTCCCCGCACCTATGAATATTAGGGTAAATTATATAAATGGTCACTAAACTTTTCAGGCACTTAAATTTAGGTCCCCCAACTTTTAAAAATTACAAAACAATTCTCAATTTCATTCTAAACCAAAAATTCCAAAGTAATTCAATTTCATTCTAACCCTAAATTCCAAAATAATTCAATTACATTCTAAAACCCAAATTCTAAAATACTTCAATTTCTGTCTTTTTTATAAACGACGCCAATGTCACTAAATTATTAATTAATTTACTTTTTATATTTAAAAACATATGATAATTTTTTAATATTAATTTAAAGACATGAAATTTTGTCAATAGTAAGAATATATGATAATAATTCATTTATTTAAAAATAAATATATTTCTGATTATTTGTGTATGTTTTTATATCTAATAATACGTGTTAATATATTTTATATCTTTCACATAAATATTAAGACTACATAAATAGTAGAGTCAAAATTTTATATACGAGTTATGTTAATTATAGTAATGATGTATAAATATATTTTATTTTTATATTATTTCTATTATAATTAAATATAAATATTACCATGATAATTAAATATTTATTACTTATTACATCGAATATTTTTTGCAGAAAAATTATTTAATAAAATCATAAAAAACACAATAAAAAATAAACACAGAAGTTGACTACTTCAAAAATAAAATAAAAAATCAATAATTTAATATAATATACCCTAAGTTGATGATAACAATTAACTCAAAAGAGATGGGGTTTGTGCCATGTTTTTGTAACATACGTAAACTTTCTATTTCATGGTCACGTTCACATATTCTTTTAGTTCTAGCACGATCTATTTTTTAATTTTCTAATATAGGTAAAAAAATGTTATTTTCTTTAAAAGTTTTAAATTCAAACAATTGTGTTTGTAGGGTATATCTATATTGTTAATAAATTAATTTTTTTGAATAAATACTATCTTATAATCACATCAAACTATTAAAAAAAATTAAATTATAATTGAAATAAATAAAAATTATAAGGATGTCAATTGGGGATTTTGATTCTTAATTTTTTTTCATTGAGAGATTGTATTTTTTTATTCAATTTCATCCATAATCATTTTTTATATTTAAATTATTGAAGATCACTAAATTTACATTTACGAGGAGAGAGTGTATTTTTTTCTTCACAAAAGTAAAAAAATCAAAACGCTATCACGTTCTTAAAGATAATCTATTATATTTCTCCTTAAATTGAAGTATTTTAGAATTTGGGGTTTAGAATGTAATTGAATTATTTTGGGATTTAGGGTTTAGAATGAAATTGAATTACTTTGAAATTTAGGATTTATAATGAAATTGAGGAATGTTTTGTAAGTTTTAAAAGTTGGGGGACCTAAATTCAAGTGCCTAAAAAGTTCAGTGACCATTTATATGATTTACCCTAATTTTCATAGGTGCGGGGACCATATTGCAAACGGATTAAATGTTTGGGGACTGTATTGCAAGTTTTAAAAGTGGGGAGACCTAAATGTAAGCTTTAGAAATGTTCAGTGACCATTACTATACTTTACCCTAATTTTTAAAATACAATGAAATATTATTACTTCATAATATTATGAATAATTATATATTAAGTATTTAAAATAATTTTATTTTAGTAGTTAGCCTAATTAATATATTTATTATTTTAATAATATAATATTTTAAATTTAATAATATTATTAATATAAATAATATTAAATAAATTATTATAATAATATAAAATAATAATAATAATAATAATTTTTAATAAATAATGTTATATATTATATTTAATATTTATAATAAATAAATTTTAAAAAAAATATTAGCCAATTGAAAATGATTTACATAATATCATTTAAACACCGTAAAATAATTTTTACTGGAGAAAATAACTTCTGTGACCGAAAATGACTTATAATATACGATTTTAATAAATATTTTTTGGATTTGCGAAAATGACCAACAAATTTGTAACACAAACTCTAATTTCGCAACACATGTTCCAAAATCGCAACGTGAATTGGTAAATCGCAACACAGAAGTCAAATTCGTAACACGGAATTTCAAATTCGCAACGCGAACTCCAAATTCGTAATGCGATTTTCCAAATTCGCAATGTATTTTTCTAATTTGCGACGCTAATTCCTGATTCGCGACGTTAATTCCTAATTCGCGATTCGCAACGCGATTTTCTAAATTCGCGACGCTAATTCCGAATTACAAAATCGCGTTGCGAATCGCGAATTAGGAATTAGCGTCGCGAATTAGAAAATCGCGTTGCGAATTTGGAAAATCGCGTTGCGAATCGCGAATTATGAATTAACGTTGCGAATTAGGAATTAGCGTCGTGAATTCAGAATTAGCGTAGTGTATTCATAATTAGCGTCGCGAATTTAAAAATCGCGTTGCGAAATTGAAGTTCGCGTTGCGAATTTGACTTATGTGTTGCAATTTACAAATTCGCGTTTCGATTTACATATTCGCGATGCGATTTACATATTATCGTTGCGATTTACCTATTCGCGTTACGATTTTGGAACATGTGTTGCGAAATTGGAGTTCGCGTTGCGAATTTGTTGGTCATTTTCGCAAATCCAAAAAAAATTTGGTTAAAGTCGTATATTATAAGGCATTTTCGGTCACTGAAGTTATATTCTCTTTTTATTGAGTGTTTTCCATACAATGTAATTCTTTTTACAAAAATTATTTCTCATAATCTATTTTACACGGACCCTATATATTTGCATTGATTGTAAATGAACCTTTTTCGGGTTAATTGTGTTTTAAGTCCCTATATTCTGTTTTTATGGTTTTAATCCCTATATATTACATGTCGATTGTAAATGAACCTTTTTGTGGTTAATTTTGTTTGAAGTCCCAATATTCTGTTTTTATGGTTTTAATCCCTATACTCTAATTCCATTGCTTATAATTCCCTGCTTTCATGTATGAAACGAGTTCGAATAAGATTTTAGACGTTTAGCTTAATTTGCAAATTTTTAAGAAGAGATTTGGATAAATTAAGATTATATTAATTATTTTTTATATTATAAATTTAGTTTAGATAAAAAAAAAAGTTATTATTTTATTTTGATTTTAGTTATTTCTATTATGGACCAAAGTTTCTTTCTATAAGTATTTGTTTTTTATATTAATATAAAAGATACTATTAATAATTTTTGAATGTGCGTCATTCGTTTCTAGTTTAAGTGATTTATTTATGACTGAGCAACAAAAATCGATATGAATTGTAGTGATTTATCTGAATTAAAAATCGATTTATCTAGAGAAAATAACATTCTCGTATATCATGAAATCGTTCGATAAATTCATAATTACTTTATACTTAAAATTAGTGAAGATAACTAAAGAAAATATTAGTGAAGATAATTTTTATTTACATATTTGGATTAATCATATAAGATGTTAGGTTTAATAATTTGGGAAATTACAACAAAAAGAACAAAAATTTAGTGGACAGTTAGGTTTAAAATTTGGGAAATTAGTGGGCTAGCCCATCCGAGCGGGCTCATAAACTCTATTCGGTTGAACTGGACCGACTTTGATTCAATTTATAAACGAACTTTGTTTGAGAATGTTTCTCTCAAATGAGTTTTTCTAACACAAAAGCACAGTTTTTTTTTAATATTTAGTTTGAGTCAATAATCACGTTTCAAAAGTAATTTTTAACTGAAAACGAGTTGTTTGGGAATGTAAAAGCATAACTTTGGGCCAAAAGCACTTCCGTAAGGATTCTCAAAATGTCCTTTAGTTTGTTTGAAGTGTACTCAAATTTAGAACTCTTTCATCTGTCACTCGATCCGAGTTTAGGAAAACTATACTGACCCAAAGATTAATCCAACTTTTAAATTAAAGAATTTTATATGATCTGAACTAACACATTTATATAATCTATATTTTTATTAGAAAAATAAGGATATATATATATATAAAAGTTAAATATGCTATTATTTTATGATCGAATCATGTATTTATACCATTAACATCAAAATTGAATCAAATAATAAAATAAATACTAATCTCTATTATATATTAAAATCAAATAAAAATAACATAAAAAAGTTTTACATCTTAATTGATAATTTAATGGTACTCATTATACAAATGGTCCCCGACTATAGGTACTATTTTATTAAGTCACTCAACTATTAAAAGTTATAAAATTCATCAGAAAAGTTATAAAATAGTCATCCGACTATATAATGTTGATTTATTAAGTTCATCGACTATTAAAAGTTATAAAATGATTACCTAATTATTCATTATGTTTCAAACTTGTCTTTGCCGTTAAAAATGGTAGTATCTATGATGGACGATAACATGATAAGTGAGATGATAATGATTTGAGATTTTGAGATTGTATTTTATCATATCACAGTAAGTAGGTTAACGTTAAGTTGAGAATTCATCAATTTTTTAACAGAAAAATGACGAGTTTGGAACATAATGAATAATCAGTGATTATTTTATAACTTTTAATAGTCGAGATATTCAACAAAATAATACTCTATAATCGAATGACTATTTTATAACTTTAATAGTCAAATAACTTAATAAAATAGTACTAAGTAGGTATCATTGTGTAACCCTAATCTCAAATATAATATTAATTTATGTGGTTACCCAAATACAATTTGGTATGTTTGCGTGTAAATATAAAAGAGAGCAATAGTATGCGGTCCAAATTCCATTGCCATTACCGACCTGCCGTTTCTTCCACAAAGGGAAAAGCCCCTAAATTTCTCATAGTCTCCGTTTGCTTTCTCCCATCTTCTCCTATTTATTTTCTCTGATTATATCGGTTGTCTTGGCGAGAAGGAAGAAGACGATGGCTCAAAGAACCGAGAAGGAAGAGACCGAGTTCAAGGTGCCGGAAACCATGACGCTCTGCGTCAACAATTGTGGTGTTTTAGGTAATCCGGCCACCAACAACATGTGTCAGAATTGCTTCAACGCCACCACCACCGCCCTTGCTGCTTCCAGTTCACAATCGTCGAGATCTAATCCGTCGCGTTCGCCGAACAAGCGATCCGGTTGTTCTCCACCTAAAACGTCAACGTTCTCACGCGCCGTCGCTGTGAATCCGGCTTCCGTTACGGAGAAGAAGGTGGTGAACCGTTGTTCCGGATGCAGGAAGCGGGTCGGGTTGACCGGGTTTCGGTGCAGGTGCGGGGAGCTTTTCTGTGCGGATCATCGGTATTCGGATCGACACGATTGCAGCTACGATTACAAGACGGTGGGGCGGGAGTCGATCGACAGGGAAAATCCGGTGGTTAAAGCCGCGAAGATAATCAAAGTCTGAAGCTTTTATATTCTGTATCGAAATTTAAATTAAATTAAAACATATTTCTTCACCATTTTTCAACCTGGAAATTTTAGCTTAGCTTTGGGGATTGATGCTCGATCTCAAAGATCGTTTCAAAAAATTCACTCAAGATTGTTGAAGTCGAAGAAGATGATTCTCTCTTCTAGTTGTTCCTTTTTCACATTTACTTTCCTTTTCCTGGAAAAAAATGAATTGTATTAGGATTCTGACATTTTCGTTTTAGTACTTTTCCTTCATTTGTAATTCTTAGATTCTTTGTTTAAACATTAAAATTTTGATGAAATTAATTATTGCAATTATTTTCTGGGAAATTGATTATTGCAATTTTCTTTCGGTTTTATAATTATGTGATCTTTTGAAATTACAGTAATTAGTGACGATTGTATACAAAAGTAGTAATAATTAGCGACGATTGCATTCTTCGTCGGAAAAGAACGTTTCGTTTAAAACTAAGGGTAAATTACGCGTTTAGTATATAAGTTATCAGTTTTTGTATGTTTTAATACATAAATTTTCATTTTTTCAAGACAATACTTAAAATTTAGTTTTTTTTCATTTTAATATCCTAATTCAGACTTTATAGTTAAATTTTGAATTTTTTTAAAAGTTTAAGTACTAAAACAGACTGAAATATTGATATTAAAACGGATCGAAATTGTCGATATTAAAACAATCGAAAGTGATAATTTAGTATTAAACATATTAAATTTTTAATAATGAGATTTTAAAATGAAACAAAAAACGTTAAATAGTGAGATTTTAAAATAAAACAAAAACTAAACATTAAGTATAAATTTAAAAAAAATAAAAATTTAAATACTAAAATAGAATAAAATTGATAATTTAATTAATAGTTAAGGTATTAAACATGTAAATTAAAATTAAATAAACAGTGCCGCACATAATCGTCCTTCCCAAGCAACCAAGCTACCTTAGCTGTCCGCCGAATCAATGGGTAAAGTCCAAATCCGTTGTAGGCTTGGAAACCGAAAATATATATATATATATATATATATATATATTTAATCGATTTATTATTTTATAGTAATTTAATAATTATTTTATAATTTTAAAAAATTTATGTAATTATAATTTAATAACTTTGATGTTAAGTTTATTTGAACATTAAAATTAAAGATAAATTTAATTTTTGTTAGTTTCGAAATAGTAAGATAAGCTTTCTTGGGGCGAAAGGTGCCCTTGAGGAGCATTTAGCATTATGTTTTTATTTATTTATTTATTATTTTAATAATAAAATTATTATAATGTGATTTTTGCATGTGGAGCAAGGTTGCTACCCTTGCGGACGACATCATCAGCACGCATTATTATTATTATTATTTGTTAAATATTAATATTAATATCATCGTACCAGAAACTAATTAGTCTAGTGAGATGAGACATTAAATATATTAAGTAAGGTTAGGGGTTTAAATCCCGACAATTACGAATGAAACAAACTGAGTTGGGAAAGTTGTTCTTATCTTTACAATACTTGATTCGAATTAGTCGAACAATATATCAGATACTGATAAATATAAAAAATATATTAATGCCATCATCATCTAGGGGACAATCCTAAAATAAATTTATTATAGTGTGTTGTTCTATCCTTTTTCTTCTTTAAGACGTGGTCAGTGAAGGTTAAGGGTCGTTAAACTATTAGCGGTTTGCTAACGTGACACTGCAAATATATACAATTAAAATTACATGATTTCCACGTAGATAATATGTGGATTAAGTTTTGGTCATTTTTTTTATATTTGAACACTTTTGCTCGCTAATTTTAAAAAATATAAGTTTTGGTCACTTACGTTATCATTTCATTAAGTTTTGGTCACTTATTTTATCAATTTAATAAGTTTTGGTCGAAGGTGATCAGAGTTCTTATGCATGGAAAGGGATTCATAAGGCCTTACAGGCTCTATCACAGGCCTTATATTGGAGAGTGAGTTGTAATAGTAATACGCGACTATTTTATGATTCGTGGGAAGGTACGAAACGAGTAAACCTTACAGGAACTTACAACTCTCCGTAACTCCAGCATGTACAATGCAGAGATCTCATGCACAGGGACCAACCGCGTTGGGACCAAGCTAAGGTGAGTAGGATCGTGACTGGTGATGATGTGGATATCGTGCTGCAAAATTTGATAGCGCCGTGTGCCACGGATAGTGTTGTAAGGTGGAACCATGACTCGGGGATGTATTCCACAGCGTTCGGCTTATTGGTGGCTTCAGAAGTCATCCCACACCGTTGATGCCATCTCACCTCTTTGGAAGATCATTGCGAAACTGAAAATCCTTCCTAAGGTGCGTATTTTTTCTTGGAGATCAACACATGAGGCCTTACCGGTAGGTAGTAGGGTGCTAGCAACCGGCCTAGGTAATGGTATCTGTCTAATCTGTAAATTAGATGTTGAAACAACCCTACATGTGGTCCTGAATTGTTTCTTCGTACGTGACGTTTTTCGAGTGGCCGATATTTCAGGTGCGTTTCTTACTTCACCATATACAACAGCTATATTATGGTTGGAATCTGCTTTTGCTACGCTTGGGGTTGATACTTTTGCAGGTTTCTTGGTCCTACTTTGGAATGTATGGAACGGGCGGAACTCACTGGTACATGAGGGACGGTTGCAACCTACTTGGGTTCTAGTGGCCAATGGCAGGGTTTTGCATCAGGATTTTCTTCATGCTCAATGACAGAACCTATGCTAGTCCTATTGTTACTGATCCTTGGAAATGGCGACCACCAAATAGACATGTGATTAAGTTAAATGTGGATAGTGCTTACAGTCCAAAAACCAAGATGGTCATTGTGGGGGTTGTCGCTTGTGATGCTTTTGGTGTTGTTCTTGGTTGTTTAGCTACCACGTCAGGAGGTATTTTTGATCCGGGACTGGCATAATTGCATAGTCTTGCAGCGGCTGTTAATCTTGCTTCAGAGGAGGAATGGCAGAACATTGTTATTGATATGGATTCCACTACGATTGTCAACCTGTATAATTCTGGGAGGGATGATGAATCTACCAACGGTGTCCATATGAGGGCTATTCGTGCCAAATGTACTAGCTCTAATAGTTGTATAGTGTTTTATGTTTGTCGGGAAGCTAATAAGGTTGCTCACAAGTTAGCTCAAAGAGCTATTCAATGCAATGTTTCCTATTTTTTAGTCTGATGTTCCATAGTTCTTTGTTAACGATGTAAAACATGATTGTTTCCAGATTGATTAATGGATTTGGGCACTATTTTCCCCTTATAGGAACCCAACTTTTGTTGGAAAAAGTGATTTTTAATGAGCTCATTTTACTTAAAAAAAAGAAAAAAATAATAATAAATTTTGGTCACTTGAACATTGAATGTCGTTAGTTTGATGATGTGACTCATTAATAACATAGATTAATTTTTATTTTAATCCCTACACTTTCGAGGACATCTCTGCTCCAATGTTCTATTTCTTTATTTGTCTTCTTTTATGGACTCGTGCTGCATTTTAAGAATAATGAAAGATTTTCAACTTCTAATAACAAAAAATAATACCACAAGTCCAAAGAAAAATGATAGGGTAGACATCTAGAGATAAAATGAAGTCAAGTAATATCAGTTATACAAACTAAAATTCAATTTTCAAAGGTGGTTTTCCCTTGAGAAAGTGTCTCCGGTGAAACATAATCAATGGATCCAAACAATTCGATAATTTGATCCATGAATTCATCCATTAAACTTAATAAATTGATAACTTAAGTGACCAAAACTTAATAAAACAATAATGTAAGTGACCAAAAGTGCACAAATATGAAAGTGATCAAAACTTAATCCACACATTATCTACGTGAAAATGATGTGATTTTAATTTTATGTATTTACCGTGAGTAAGTGACAAAAAGTGCACAAATATGAAAGTGATCAAAACTTAATCCACACATTATCTACGTGAAAATGATGTGATTTTAATTTTATGTATTTACCGTGCCACGTAATCAAACTGTCAAAGGTTTAACATTCGTTAATCTTCCGTGATCAAATCTTATGTTTTTTGAATTCAATGAAGAGAAGTTTATAAATCTCAAACGAAAGTGACCATTTTTTGTAGTTTATCATTTTCTTTAACTTATTTTACCGACAATGGTACCAATTTTTATATTGATCATCAACCATGGATTCTCTTTTTTATTTTTGTTGATCAACAACCATGGATTCTTTTCTTTTTAGTATTTTAAACGAGAATAATTATAATTGATTAAGATGACACTTAGTTACAATCTTGCTAATATATATATACCCTTGAATTACATTTTGATACACATTTTACATAGTTAATATTTTCTCATGATGCTCGACTCTAATTTATCATTCTCGATAATCTTTCAATAGATTAGCCCCTTTTATGATTCATTTATTGTTACAATCAAATTTGTTTGTATCAATTTTTCATTCTAATCTTTTAATTGGGAGTTTAACCTCTTTCATATATGATCTAAAATAATTAATTTATTGTGTCAATGTTATAGGAAAATATCTAAATTATATATATAATTTACAATAGTAATTATAAACTCTTATGATAATTTTAAATATTTTTATTTTTATTAAGTCTAGCAATTTTAATTAAAATATATTTTCTTTTTTAATAAGACTAGCGATTTTAATTAAAAGAGAATAGTGCATGCATATGTTAAGTTACACATTTGATATTTAATATATTCTCGTTATTTTAAAAAGTATATCTAACGATACATAGTGCTTATATTTTGGTATCCATCGTTAAATTTAACCAAAGATTCAACACAAATAATGATATGGCATGGTATAATAACAACAATTTTAATCCTCAAAATTTGCACAAATTGATATGAATAACATAATGATGTGATCTAAGCCAAGATTAGAGCATTTATCATGTTACGAACTAAAGGCCCTCTAAGAAATATGTGTAAACAAACCTCTCAATGGATATTGTAAACAGTGGAGGAAAAATTTTGAAGACAACTTAGCCTACATCTAGACAGTAAGGGAAAGGTTACTTTCAAGTGATTATAAGCAAGAGAGGCGTTATCAACATAAGAGTAGAATAACTCGGTGATAATGCACTCGAGAAAACGACGACGACAATTGTAATGACCACAATTCGGATGTAATTAACACAAAATGTACCTTAAGACGGATAAAGGTTCCACTATATGTTGCACTGTCTAACAAAATCTAAGCATGACACTTTTGATGTTCACTCTTCACTACTTGAAACGACAAATATGCAAGACAGGCAAGTGAATTATGCTTATAGTCCAAATACAAGTAATAGTAAGCATTCATGGAACAAGCATAATAAAGTGCCAAAAGCCGGACATACATCCGTTCTAACGTTTTTCGTCGACAGTGACTAAAATGATTCTCTTAAACAACGACTTCAAATAAACTAAATGCAAAGAGAGAAAACACCCTAATGCTATACTAGTGACTATGGTGTTTAAACTTCAAAATATTAAGGTTTGCTGTTTTGGTGTTGATAGCTTTCAAGATTTAAAAACATGCACATAGAAAAACAGACTTCAAAATGTTAGAATATAACGGTGAAGGAACGCTATGCGGCCATTTTGAAGAGGGATCAGATCAGGCTCCATCTGGCTGGATGAAAGGATTGGCAATCTCATCCGTGCCATCAGTTGGCGACACCAGCATAACCGCTGTGCCCCTACAAACCTGCATCAAATAGTTAACATATTGTTCTACTTCAAATGCTATACTACGTGTTTGCATTGACATCCTATAAACCCTAGGAATTTTATTACAATCACTTCCTATTATTTCATATAGTATTAACACACACATAAACATTCCATTTTTTATCTTTTGTACACACAGGTTTTATCTTTCTTCACAAATTTTATTTCAATAATCAATAATATTTTATGCCAATGATTCTTGCTTAAAATTGTTGGAAAAGCATGAAATATTAATGTCGTGAAGCAATAGTGATCTGGTTGGGGTGACAGACTCGAACAGAAACAACAGTATTAAAAAGAACTTCAATTTTGATTACATTGCCTGTGAACGATAAGGTAGTAGCATAGACTCAGCAACTTGGACAAAATTTTAAACAATCTTGTAAATGCTGAAATTGTTATCAAGTGGAAATTTGATACCTATACCTAACAAAATCATCTTGACACTGACGTTTCTCTAGTGGATGTCACATGAATATGGTTTAGACATGTAAACAGCCAAACTATTCTCAGGTAACAAGTTCAGGTTATTAAATCCATACACTCCAGCAGAGAAAATACATGCATTGATGGAAAAATAAACTGTAAAAAGGGTAGAGAAGCAAAAGAAAGAACATACTATCAAGCCAAGACGCCTAGTCTGATCAGTAGTCTTCAATGGATCATCCTGGTCTGCAGAGTATCCATAAATAGAAGAGCAAATCATTTTTTTTGTTTGCAGTATAGATATAAAACAATTGCAGTAAGAAAGGAAAACCAGATACCAAACCCCCCCAGAAGTTTCAAGTTTCAGTTCGCAACTGTCCACACTCTCAATTGCTTACACATCAAATAGAATTAGAGAAAAACAAGTTTCACCTATTCAGAATAAAAACTGACTAACTCTGACATGAAAATTTGCTATAAAAAGTTGCCTATAACTTCAATTTTGTAAACAGACCATCCGATAAGCAGGCCATCCAGATTACACGTTTAGAGATTTATCCATAAAGCCATTGTTTTCCATTAAAAAGGAGAACAAGTGTATTCAAGAGAAAAAAAAAGGAGGAAATGCATTAAATTCCCTCAGTGGGTAAAACATGAAGAAATTGCATAAACTGTAACCACGCACAACCAAACAAAGATGGAAGATCAGATCCTCAAAACCTCCAAGCAGCAATTATTTGGCAAGATATAGCAACTGCTGCAAGAATTTATCTGAATGAGCTGATACTAATTGCTCAGCATGCAGCAAACATGTGTACTGGCAGAGCTCTCTAATCATGCTTATTTTTGCCTAGATTAAGCAGCACAAGTTCAAAAGTTTAATTGATGGAGAAATCTTGTAGCTCTATAGGAAGTTTACGGAACAGACTTCCGTGATCTGTTTCCTGGGTGCTTTTGAAGCTAATTAAAGGGCAGCATGCAACAATCGCACTGCAAAATTGCAATTTTCAATTTAAGAGGCCACACTAAATCAGCAGCATAGCATACTGTTTTTTTTCATTTATATTAGACAGAAAAATAAGCAAACACTTCTTTGTAGTATGAGATAGTTGATGGTAGACAATGCATAGAAGAATCCTTAGAAGAGGTGGAGCAAAGAGAAAGTGCCAAATAATTTATGCAAGGAAAACAAGTGAAATACTTGCATTGAGCCTATGCTACTTGCACTTGGGTGGGAATGTAAGATAAGGTATGTGTCCGATACATGAATGATTTCTTTTTCAATGTATTTGGTAGCTCCTTGGAGAGCTAACACAGACACTTAAGAAAATGAACAATTAGAGCAACATACCCTGAAAGTACAAACAGTTACATAGGTAAATATAGTAACCAAGAATATAGTCTAAAAGCCAGCAAGATGTAGTAAACCACACCAATAAGCATGTTTACAATGAGGCAATTACCTCGGAGAAACTCTACAGCTTCATCCAGGACAAGATTTAGTAGTTGGTCATATCCTTTTAGGGTCCCTGTGACTGAAACAGGAAAAAATGGCTCATGAAAATGACAATATATAAACTCGACCAAACAAACGATGGGAAAAAGAAACAACTGCCATACATCTAGGGCACATGACATATTGCAATGCTTGGCATTAGAGCCTAGAAGTTACTATTACATATGAGATAACATTAGATTCCTGATGTCGAATTATTTCTATATACCGATCTTACACATCACTCATAATCTAAAGTTCTAAACCCATATACCATTCGATTCTATATTACTGAATCAGTCCTTTTATATCCCAATAAAAACCTTCAGAATGATAAAAAATGAAAACCGAAAGCTTAGCAAACAGACCTTGTCTACCACCAGTGAGTTTGACCTGCACACCTTTGTCCACAAACTTAGCCAAATCCAAGACAGTTTCTTTCCTTCCCGACTGAAAAAGCATGATCATCCATTACAAGCTATTGTTTAAAAATTTAAAAAAAAACAGCAAAAAAAGAAGGTAAACAAGACCTAATCCCTTAACAGGCAATTCTAAGAACAAGGTTTAAGTTAATTGTTAGAGTTTAAAAAGGGACACAGAAATGAAACTTGCCATATTCTAGGTAGTTTTGGCACCTGTGTGTGATTTCTATACCCTTGCAAATGCAATTTTCCAGGCCTTTACCCCAGAAACTGTAAACAACAAAGGGCAAACCTTAACGGATTTAGAAAAGAAACGGTGCGAATAAGTATCAAATAGCAGCGGCGCTAAAGGCCTCAATAGCAGCGGATCGCGGCCGCAAATCAAATATAGAAGAGTGGTGCAGAGGCAAGATAGCATATAACTCAAAATCTCTCTCAGGGCCCAAAATATAAATCAATATTCAAATTCAGTTTAGGTTTTCATAATTACCTTGATTTTAATTTCGTGGCCTATAGGGAAACTCCAAGTCAGAAGAGAGGTTTACGAGCAAGGGTACAGACGAGTGATTAAGGGCTTTGTCTAGCGGCAGGGTGTGTGCGAGGGGAGAAGGGTAAATAGGTCCGGAAATTTTTAAGAAAAAAAATAGCAATTGAAGTTTTTTTTTATTAATCTCTATAAGGTAATCTCTATGGTGTTTGACTAATAAGGGTTAATTTGAGTGGTAAGTAGATTAATATCACTTACGTAAAGTCTCGAATTTAAGTTCTTGTGTATGTGAAAAATCTCTACTGAGAGACTCGCTCACTAAATGACAGATGTGCGACGTGAATCGATTTGAATTAATTAAGATACAATCTTAAAACCCGAAAGGATAACCATATATACATTGTACTTAAATCCAGATACTTAAGAATTAACAATTATTTTTTTATAATGAAAGTTATTTAATTCGTGCAGCAATAAAAATTAAATATATGTAATGCATGGGTAAAATCGGAAAAATAATGTTGTTAAAGAAAAAAAAATAGAAAAATGAATGATAATTATTGTAAATTATTTAGGTGGTGTAGTTTGAACGTTATTGTAATCGATAAAGGGGTAAATTATATATTTAGTGTCTAAACTATCAGTTTTGATTAGTTTTAGTATATAAATTTTAGCTTACGGTTCATTTTTGCCCATGTAGTATACTCAATTTATCATTTTCTCCCCTATCATATTTTCACATCAATTTATCCCTCAAAGTTGCTCAATTACATCATTTTATATCATATCCCTGACTTAAAATCCTAAGTTATGATTTATGGCTTATGGTTATGATGTCGTGATTTAGGCTTTATAATTTAGGGTTTTAAGTTAGGATATAATATAGAATGATGCAATTGAGTATCTTTGAGGGCTAAATTGATGCGAAAACACGATAGGGGCGAAAGTGATAAATTGAGTCTACTACAAGGGCAAAAGTTACCCTTTTACCATAATTTTTATTTTTTTAACATTATACCTAAAGTTTAGTTTTTGTTTCATTTTAGCACCCCACCATCAAAAACTTATGTTTTTGTTTTATTTTAGTACATTCGATCAAAATTTAACATTAAGTTTAAAAAAAATAAATGTTTAGGTACTAAAACAAACCAAAACTAATAGTTTAGATACTAAACACATTAAGTTTTTAATGGTGAGTACTAAAATGAAATGAAAAATAAAAGTTAGATATGTTATGACAACATTAAAAATTTAGGTACTAAATTATACTAAAACTAATAATTTAGATACTAAATGTGTACTTTACCTGAAAAAAGTTATAGTGTTTCTTTTTTCAGATTAAAATTATTAAATTTTTTATTTTTACGTAAACATATACGTTTGTTGCAACTTTTTCGTATATCGAACCCTTAAAAAAATTCTTTCGCGCGTTTATATTTTCTGATCCACACAATCATTTTACATTATCTCCAATAGGTAGGTATGATTTCTCAAATTTATATTTATTGTTGGACGATTATGTCCATGCATTTTTTTCCAAATTATAAATAATCACTATGATCTTATATTTAACATTAGTATCAGGATCGATTGCTTCACGAAATGTAAGATTACATCTGAAAATAAAATTATTAAACGTTATATTACTTAACATATTATTGGGCATGATATAGTATTTTGTTTTATTTGAATGTAATATTACAATGTTTGGTTAACGAAATAATGTGTTTACTTTTAGATATCAAAATATTGGAGAATATACATACTACACCGGTGTAAGTATGTGTTAATTGTTATATTCTTTTATTTTATTCATGCTACATATATGCATGATACAACGAAATATCATATAAAAGTATTTGACAAAATTAATAGAAAACATAAAAAGTAAAAATTAAACGTAACAAAATACGTATTAAAAATAAAAATTGAAATCAAATACATACATAATAATCAAAATAAAATAAAAAGTCGATATATTTTTTCAAATAAAATAAAAAGTCGATATATTTTTGTTTTACTTGTTATTTTATATGCATCATATTGATTTTTATCAATATCTAATCCGGACTCCATCCCTAAGTAAAAGGTTTTCATGTACTTAATATTTAGTTTTGAGTTTTAACCGAGTTAAATTTAAAACTTTTTCTTATTTCAAGTCTTTTCGGAAAAAAATTTAAGCTTCAATTTATAATTTCTAATTTAAGTCGACTTGTGAATTTTTAAACTAAATCAAATTCTATTTTAAAATTTACGAATCCAATTAAATTTAATAATACTCAAACTCAACCCTCATCTACAAGCAGCATAAAACTGCAGGTAAGGAGGAGGTGGGGCTGACTATATATGGAAGGCAGTAATGCCGGTTTTAGGATGCTTTTAGCTTCACCTTAGCTATTTCAGTCAAATTTAATGCACTATAGTAAGTTTTTTAGATATAGAAATAAGTCTAGGGTCTCCAGAAATGTTGATATAGTTGATTGAAATTCATAAATTTAAGTTTGTAAGGTTATTGCACAATAACCTTGTCCTTTGATGATATAGTTGATTGAAATTCATAAATTTAAGTTTGTAAGGTTATTGCACAATAACCATGATTCTGGTGTGTGGGAGACATCTATATCCTTGTCTAGTCAGGATAACACCCGATCACAAGATAAAGTTATTTTTCCCAGTGCTGAACAGGGTGGGATATTGGATGTGAAGAACAATATTTCGAAAAGCAAAGCAGTAAAAAGAAAGAAGAAGAGCTCGAGGAAACATGGTACTTTATTTAAGAAAAGCAGGGCGGTTGATCTTAGTGGAACTGTTGTTGAAGAGGTCTCTTATGAACGCACTGGGCCAGAATCTGAAGCTATGGCAACTTTAGGTGTCGGTGAGGCACTGGGCGTTATTTTTTCGGCGTCGAGGGAGGCTGTGATACATCGTCTGGAGCAGAATGAACATGTGGCTTTTCGCTCGGGTGAAACATGTTTGGATAAATCACGTAAGTGGTCAAAGGATTTTTCAGGAAATCAGAAAGTTTGGTGAGAAGTCTTCCAAAATCCTCAAGAAGGGGCGAACTTGGCGGGGCTTCGCTCATCCAAGAGATTTATCAGTCTAAAAAAAACAAGGTGAATGCGAAATCCAAGCTTGGTGTGATATCCTCTAGCAGTCCTTCGATTCAAGTTGATTTACAGGAGGAGCCAACTGCTGGGAGCAGTTTCAGTTCTGTCAAAGAAGCAAATGCGGCATTATTTTTTGACGAGGCCATCTTGGGAGGGGATTTAATTGCGTCAAGAAAGAAAGGGTTGGATAGTTCGGTAATTATAGAGAAGTCGGGTAAGCAATATACTTAATATTGCAGACGGATTGAGCATTCTTCATGTGAGTCCCATTTTTTCATGGATTTTGGCCTAGCCTTGTTATCTTGGAACATCAGGGGTTTGGGAAAAAGTGAAAAAATCAGAGTTATCAATCGGGTAATTGAAGCGAACAAAATAAGTGTGGTTCTGCTTCAGGAGTCTAAAGTTTCTGAAATTTCTGCTTTCATGGACAGAAGGTTAAAAGGCAGGAGAGATTTTGAATTGATTTCAGCTGCTGCCGAGGGATCTTCAGGTGGTCTTATTTCTCTAATGGAACCTAATATTTTTCAGGTTAGTTTGAGGAAAATCTTCAGGAGAATGATTATTCTAAAAGGCAAGCTGGTGTCGAATAATCTAGAAATTACTATCATTAATGTTTATGGGCCGAACTTGCATAGTGAAAGAGCTGAATTTTTCCATCATTTAAATGAGATAATTGTTAGTTTGAACATTCCTGTTATTTTGGGGGGCGATTTCAACACAGTAAGGTTTGATTTGGAACGAACATGGACATATGATCATTCGGCAGCCATGAGGTTATTTGAAGAATTTATTTCGAGTCGGGATTTGATTGACGTTCCTGTATTGGGTGGGCTGTATACATGGTTTAGGGGAGGTGAAAATGTGGTTGCTAGTAGGCTGGATAGGTTTCTTATTTCTCCTGAGGTTGTATGTTCGTTTCCTCATTTGTTGCAATTGACTCTGCCCAGAACTATTTCGGATCACAAACCTGTCATTCTTAAAGAGAAAAAAACAAAACGGTTTGCTAGACCATTTAAATGGTTCAATCACTGGGCGGATGATCCTATTCTTTCTCAAAGAATTAAGGATGTTTGCGAAGCTAATAAAGGTAAAGGTATGCAGCAAATTCTGTTGGCGTCAAAATTAGTGACAAATGACTGGGCTGAGGCATTTTGGGAGAATAAATCAGAATCGATTGATGAGATTAGTAAAAAGATAGAAAGATTAGAGAATGAATGTATCTTGAATTCTAGCAACAGTTCAGCTCAGCTAGAGATTGCCTCTTTGAAAACAAGATTATGGGTTGTTTTGAGGAAGAAAGAACGTGAATGGCTTCAAAAATCTAGATTACGGTGGTTCAAAGAAGGGGATAAAAACACAGTTTTTTCATCTCACAGCTGCGGCAAGAGGTGGATTTAATCAGATCTCGAAAATCAAGGTTCAAAATCGAGTCTTGAAAAATCAGCATGGTATGCAACAAGCTTTTGTTAATTACTTCAGTCTCGGGTATAACGATGTGAAGACTTTGCCAGTGAGAAATTTTGACATTCCTTTTAAGAGACTAAACGCTGCTGCTAGAAGGTTTATTGAAAGACCATTTTCTGAAGAAGAGGTTTGGTTTTCTATAAAGACGTCAGATGGATCAAGAGCTCCGGGTCCGGATGGATTTAGCATGGATTTCTTTAAGAATTTTTGGACAAGTATTAAAGGCGATGTTATGAAATTCATGGATGATTTTTATTGGGGAATAATTGAAGATTACTCGTTCAATAAGTCGTTTATTGCTCTTATTCCAAAGAAAACTGATGCATTGTTCCTTGAAGATTTTCGACCAATCTCCTTGGTGGGCAGTATGTATAAGATGTCTCGG